TTATGACATGATGAAGCAAAGTTGATCAGAATTAAACAAGGAGTCGACTGACCAAAGGTCAAGGTCATTGGGTCAAAGGTCAAGGTTAAATTTTGTATCTTTTCACTGGTGAACATTTCGCTATGACACTTTGAAGCAATGTTGCTCAGAATTAAACAAGGAGTCAACTGACCTTAGGTCCAGGTCATGGGGTCCAAAGTGTATTTTTTACTGATGAACATTTTGTTATGATATTAAGAAGTAAAGTTGGTCTGAATTAAAGAACAAATTAACTGTCCAAAGATCAGGGTCACTGGGTTAATGGNTCGCCCGTCCGTCGTCCGTCCGTCAACTTTTCCTTTAAAACGCAACTAGTCCTGAACGGCCAAGTAGATTTTGACTAAATTTGATCTANATCAAAGCTAACAAATGAGTGTTGCACTGGTATTTACATTTCTGTTAGCCCAGCAAATATGGAGGTGGAAGGAAACTAGACTCACATCATAGTACATGTAAAATGTATATTTTGCTTCATTGCGATTCTTTTTGAAGTCCAAATGTCAAACGTCAAGCTCAGCTATATGGGCAGATTACTTCTTGATGATTATGGGGGATATATTGCCACAAGACGGGGCCCTTACTGACCTGTCAGTGTTCTAGTTTGTACTGATAATAGGACAGTTTCGGCTAGTTTGTACTGGTATTAGGACAGTTTCGGTCAGTTTGTACTGGTATTCGGACAGTTTCGGCTAGTTTGTACTGGTATTAGGACAGTTTCAGCTAGTTTGTACTGGTATTAGGACAGTTTCGGTCAGTTTGTACTGTATATGGACAGTTTCGGTCAGTTTGTACTGTATTAAGACAGTTTCAGCTAGTTTGTACCGGTATTAGGACAGTTTCAGTCAGTTTGTACTGGTATTAGGACAGTTTCGGTCAGTTTGTACTGTATTAGGAGAGTTTCAGTCTGTTTGTACTGTATTAGGATAGTTTCGGTCACTTTGTACTGTATTAGGACAGTTTCGGCTAGTTTGTACTGTATTAGGACAGTTTCGGCTAGTTTGTACTGGTATTAGGACAGTTTCGGTCAGTTTGTACTGTATTAGGACAGTTTCGGCTAGTTTGTACTGTATTAGGACAGTTTTTGTCAGTTTGTACTGTATTCGGACAGTTTTTGTCAGTTTGTACTGTATTTGGACAGTTTTGGTCAGTTTGTACTGCTATTTCTTGGTATTAGGACAGTTTCGGTCAGTTTGTACTGTATTAGGATAGTTTCCATCTGTTTGTAGTGTATTAGGACAGTTTCGGCTAGTTTGTACTGTATTAGGACAGTTTCGGTCAGTTTTGGGACAAAAGTGATCTATTAAGCTCACACCTACTGTGTTTTTGTTAGCACACAGCATGCTTATTTAGTCAAATATGTTAATTAGTTTATTGGCCTAACAAAACAATAGCAGACAAAGTCATTGACTGGAACACTACTACTACAACTGTTAAAAATAAGTGTACAATTAATATCAACAAAGAAAATGTGCAAAGACAATAACATTGAGATTTTTCTTTGTAGATTTAGAGAATTATTTTTACATAATCTGATTTTTTTCTATGCCCCTTCCATCTTAAGTGGAGGAGGGGCATGTAGTTTTACTAGTATTTGGTCCCATCCCATTGCAAACCATTATCACGAGCCAACCAACTTTAGGTAACAGATTTTTATCAAACTTTTTTAAAGGTCAAGTAGGAGATTATCTCGGATATGTGAATATTTCATGGTCCAATTTGGTTTGGTTTGGTTTGTTTGTGTTTTACATCCTATTAACAGCTATGGTCATTTAAGGATGTGCCAGGTTTTGATGGTGGAAGAAAGCCAGAGTTCCCCGAGAAAAAACATTGACCAAGGGGCAGTACCTGGCGACTGCCCCACGTAGGTCTGGAACCCGCAACCCAGTGGTGGAGGGCTAGTGGTAGCAGAATGTCGGACGCTTTAATTACCACTAGGCCACCGCGGCCCCCTCATAGTCCAAAGGCCGATGCCAAGGTCAATGTTGTTATGTATATGTATTCCAAGGGGCCAAGGGATTTTTTTTCCAGACGTTTTTAAAAATCAACCTGCATTAAACATTCAGAATAGTGTTTAGGATTATTTTGTAATTTTGTATATTCAATATGACACGTAACTTGATTTGATAATTATTTTGGTTGTAGGACACATCCAGTATCTGTCCACAATAATCAAAGATGACCGGAAGTATTTCAGGAAGAAGTTTGGTGTACAGTACATATTGGATGTCGTGAGAACTTACTACAGGTATATATGATATTTCCCAAAAGTGTTCGTTATCTTGTTTATCTGACGGTATCTATTTTCAGAGACACATTGTCTGAAAAGTGTCTTTTTATGCTCTCACCATATTTGTGGAGTTTGCTTTAAATGTTTGCATTTTCCTTTGTTTTATCAGTCAAGGCATGCATACATCATCTTGGTTAAACTTTGGAATTAGCTCCATTATTTCTCCATTATTCCTATATTATACTTGAATCAAGAATTCACGATTTTGTTCTCAAAAGTATGTGATTTCGGTCATTAAGCCAGAATAAATTCTGTCTACACAGTTACAGCCAACCTTGGGGACTGATAGAGTCCATCAGTACAGTTTACCACCTGGTGATGTAGTATAATCATTAGATCAGTAGCATTACCACTGATATACACAGATTTAGGTTGGAGGATTATAAATATATAATGGTTCAAACTTCGCAGTATTATGGATGGTGCTGGCTCAGTGGTTAGGGTCTGGTTCCCAAAAGGGTTGTCAGCAGTGGTTTATATCTTGTAGTTCCTGTGAGAGCGGGCTATCAGCATTGGTTTATTTATTGTAGTTCATGTAACAGTGGGTTATCAGCAGTAGTTTATATATTGCTGTTCCTGTGACAGTAGGGTATCAACAGTGGTTTATTTTTTGTAGTTCCTGTGACAGTGGGTTATCAACAGTGGTTTATATATTGTAGTTCCTGTGACAGTGAGGTATCAACAGTGGTTTATATATTGTAGTTCCTGTGACAGTGGGTTATCAACAGTGGTTTATATATTGTAGTTCCTGTGACAGTGGGGTATCAACAATGGTTTATATATTGTAGTTCCTGTGACAGCGGGTTATCAGTAGTGGTTTATATATTGTAGTTCCTGTGACAGCGGGTTATCAGAAGTCGTTTATATATTGTAGTTCCTGTGACAATGGGTTATCAACAGTGGTTTATATATTGTAGTTCCTGTGACAGTGGGGTATCAACAGTGGTTTATATATTGTAGTTCCTGTGACATTGGGTTATCAACAGTGGTTTATTTATTGTAGTTCCTGTGACAGTGGGTTATCAGAAGTGGTTTATATATTGTAGTTCCTGTGACAATAGTTATCAACAGTGGTTTATATATTGTAGTTCCTCTGACAGTGGGTTATCAGTAGTGGTTTATAGATTGTAGTTCCTGTGACAGTGGGTTATCAGTAGTGGTTTATAGATTGTAGTTCCTGTGACAGTGGGTTATCAGCAGTGGTTTATATATTATAGTTCCTGTGACAGTGGGTTATCAACAGTGGTTTATATATTATAGTTCCTGTGACAGTGGGTTATCAACAGTGTTTTATATATTGTAGTTCCTGTGACAATGGGTTATCAACAGTGTTTTATATATTGCAGTTCCTGTGACAATGGGTTATCAACAGTGGTTTATCTATTGTAGTTCCTGTGACAATGGGTTATCAACAGTGTTTTATATATTGCAGTTCCTGTGACAATGGGTTATCAACAGTGGTTTATATCTTGTAGTTCCTGTGACAGTGGGATATCAGCAGTGGTTTATATATTGTAGTTCCTTTGACAGTGGGGTATCAACGATGGTTTATATATTGTAGTTCCTGTGACAATAGTTATCAACAGTGGTTTACATATTGTAGTTCCTGTGACAGTGGGTTATCAGAAGTGGTTTATATATTGTAGTTCCTGTGACAATAGTTATCAACAGTGGTTTACATATTGTAGTTCCTGTGACAGTGGGTTATCAGTAGTGGTTTATAGATTGTAGTTCCTGTGACAGTGGGTTATCAACAGTGGTTTATGTTTTGTAGTTCCTGTGACAGTGGGTTATCAACAGTGGTTTATATATTATAGTTCCTGTGACAGTGGGTTATCAACAGTGGTTTATATATTATAGTTCCTGTGACAGTGGGTTATCAACAGTGGTTTATATATTATAGTTCCTGTGACAGTGGGTTATCAACAGTGGTTTATATATCGTAGTTCCTGTGACAGTGGGGTATCAACAATGGTTTATATATTGTAGTTCCTGTGACAATAGTTATCAACAGTGGTTTACATATTGTAGTTCCTGTGACAGTGGGTTATCAGCAGTGGTTTATATATTATAGTTCCTGTGACAGTGGGGTATCAACAGTGGTTTATATATTGTAGTTCCTCTGACAGTGGGTTATCAGTAGTGGTTTATATATTGTAGTTCCTGTGACATTTGGTTATCAACAGTGGGTTATATATTGTAGTTCCTGTGACAGTGGGGTATCAACAGTGGTTTATATATTGTAGTTCCTCTGACAGTGGGTTATCAGTAGTGGTTTATAGATTGTAGTTCCTGTGACAGTGGGTTATCAACAGTGGTTTATATATTATAGTTCCTGTGACAGTGGGTTATCAACAGTGGTTTATTTATTGTAGTTCCTGTGACAGTGGGTTATCAACAGTGTTTTATATATTGTAGTTCCTGTGACAGTGGGTTATCAACAGAGGGTTATATATTGTAGTTCCTGTGACAGTGGGGGATCAACAATGGTTTATATATTGTAGTTCCTGTGACAATAGTTATCAACAGTGGTTTATATATTGTAGTTCCTTTGACAGTGGGGTATCAACGATGGTTTATATATTGTAGTTCCTGTGACAATAGTTATCAACAGTGGTTTACATATTGTAGTTCCTGTGACAGTGGGTTATCAGCAGTGGTTTATATATTATAGTTCCTGTGACAGTGGGTTATCAACAGTGGTTTATATATTATAGTTCCTGTGACAGTGGGTTATCAACAGGGGTTTATGTATTGTAGTTCCTGTGACAGTGGGTTATCAGAAGTGGTTTATATATTGTAGTTCCTGTGGCAGCGAGTTATCAGCAGTGGTTTATATATTGGAGTTCCTGTGACAGTGGGTTATCAGCAGTGGTTTATATATTATAGTTCCTGTGACAGTGGGTTATCAACAGGGGTTTATGTATTGTAGTTCCTGTGACAGTGGGTTATCAACAGTGGTTTATTTATTGTAGTTCCTGTGACAGTGGGTTATCAGAAGTGGTTTATATATTGTAGTTCCTGTGGCAGCGGATTATCAGCAGTGGTTTATATATTGTAGTTACTGTGACAGTGGGGTATCAACAGTGGTTTATATATTGTAGTTCCTAGGACAGTGGGTAATAAAAATTGGGTTTATTTTTTGTAGTTCCTGTGACAGTGGGTTATCAACAGTGGTTTATTTATTGTAGTTCCTGTGACAGTGGGTTATCAGCGGTGGATGCCAAGACGATCCGAGGCTCCCTACTAAGTCTAGTCAAGTATTATATGATCAAAGACGTAACAGCAGAGGAAGTGTCCTCCATCATCTGTTTCCTAGTCACGGTCAAGGAAGAGGACTTGGTGAGAAAGCATAATGGTCCCTATAACACCTTGAAAACAGTATCTCAAACACATCACACTATGGAAACATATTGTTACACATATGAAGACATGATTGCATTTGATGGCCTATCATTTTGTACTGAAAAATTCATTACCTTATCATTTTGTTATCAATGGAATTTACCTTATCATTTTGTAATGAATGTAATTTGAATACCCTAGCTCTCATTTTGTTTTTAATGAAACTTGAAAAACTGATCATTTTGTGCTTAATGAAAATAAACAACGCAACGCTTTGTAGTTAATGAATATATGATCTTTTTGATATCAATGAAATTAAAACACCTGATCGTTTTGTAATTTTTTATTTTTTTTTGTAAATTTGTTTAATTGATCATGAAGCGCATATTGGTTTTTTTTTTAATTATAAAATCAAGATTAAATCGAAAAATTAAGTATGAGAATCATTTCATTTTGTTGTTGGATATATACATAGTAATTTATATAATTTCATTTTAACTCATTCACCCCTGAAATTTCATAGTGAACTATTCCAACCTTTGAATTGAAAGTGTTCAAATGTGTCTTCAGGGGTGAATGGGTTAAATACACATTTAAGAGATAAATTCATCTTTTTTATTTAATTATTTTCATTTTCAAGAACATTAGGTATTGTTTTGATCAGAAGAAATAGATGTATTTCAAAAATACTCTGATACTCATTCATGATCAGATTGATACTCAGAAAGATAAAAATGCTAAATAACACTAAACCTGAACTGAAACTGACGAAAGCCATCTTGGATTCTCCTGTGTTAATGTACTGTTACTAATGACAGGTGTGTGAGGCACTGGACATGCTGATATCACTACTGGACATACAGAAACGTCAGGACCAGCTGTATCTATTGCTGTTTGAACCAGATATGGCCGAGCTGTTGCTGGGACTTCTTGTCAAGGGAGGATACTCTGTCATGTTTTATGAGAAAATCATAAAGGTATAAGGATACTCTGTCATGTTTTATTAGAAAATTATTAAGGTATAATCACATAACTCATACAAATTTTGACAAATATTGTTCACATTTACAAAAAAGAGCCAGTAAAAGAAAGCATTGAATGGCTTTGTTATGCCCTTGCCATAAAATAGGGGTGAGGTGGGGGGGGGGACATATAGTGTTGCCCATGTCTGTCCCATTCCATCCCGATTCAATTTAAACGCTTGGCAACTTCATTCAAAAGTTAAGTATGAGTATACCTGGACATCTTTGTGTTTCAGGGTTCTAAGGTTAAGGCCAAGGTCACGGTTGCTATATATAGAAAATAACTATTTATAGAACATCAAACACTGAAACTAATTTCACATGGTGGCAGTCCCATTCATGTCTTACAGACATTTTCTAGTTTCGATGTTAAAGGTCATGGCCAAGGTCACCATTACTATTTATAAAAATTTGTCAACCAATTGAAAGACATTGATCCAGCACCGTAGAATTATCACGGTGTCTGTCTGTCTGTCTGTCCATCTACACTTATATTTCAGAGATTATTTCAGAATCCAAATGACTAATCTTCTTGAAATTTGACATGGTGATATGTGGATGTGCAGTAGTGGATTAATAATTGTTTTAAGGTCAAGGTCACTGTTATTAAAAATAGACCCTAAGTGTGGTGGTATTATATTGGTCCTTATCTCAGAATCCAAAACTGGGGTTTAAAAAGTTTATAAGGTCAAGGTCACCGTGATTAAAAAAGATCAAGGGGGAGGGGTTATGGTCAGGCACATGGCGGGGCTCTTTCTGACTTGTAAGTTGTAGCTATATATAGGTGCTCTAGTTTGTTCACAAATTTTGATCAAGCTATATACAAATATCAAGTATTAATCTAAGAACACCTGAAATGAGTCTGTATTTTAGGAACCAAAAGACAGAATCACTGTTACTATAAATAGAGATTTTTCTAAAAAGATCACAGTATTCATGGGAGCGAGGGCATTTATGTCATATTGTGGTTTAATTGCAAGAATCCATTTATTTTATTAATTTATTTCACATTTAAGAACAGTAAACTGAACCAGTCAGTGTATTTTCCTCAGGTGCTGTATACAATTTTGAAGTCTGACAAAGTGTATGAGAAGAGTAAAGTGCGTGTTCGCCTTAACGACTGTGGCCATCTTGGATTGGTTGGTATGATGCAGGACTGTGAAGCATCGGGGCCAATGATGAAACGTTTTATTGACCAAGTCGCAGTCACAGGTAAATCAGATTGATGAAAAAAAATATCAATAGATAAAAAAAAATATTTGCAGGGGAATTTTGATATCCCCCCCGACACTTTCTGGTTTTAGAATAAAAGTCCACAAAAAATGCTCCTTTCAAAATAAATATTTCTTTTAAAAAATTCAGTTTCCCAATATTATTATGATTATAATCATTTTACAATAAGTTTGATATTGTGTGTAATTATATCAATAATTTTTTTACCCAGTCATACTTTCGCCCTTCGCTCATGAAATCTTTTTTCACCCAGTGTTAGTTTCCCCTTCACATTTCATTACTATGTATAGTATGTTGTTGACTTATATTTAATTTTCTGTAATGATAAATTTTCCCTGATCACAAGGGGGTGGAAGGGGGGTTGTTAGTTTGCAAAGTCAATAAGCTTAAGTAACTCAAATTTTAATTTGTGATCAGGTTCAAAACATTTTATAATTAATTTGAATTTTGTTATTGAAATTGGTAACAAATATTAAAGCATTTGCAGACATGTATGAACAAAACTTTTCTAAACAAAATATATCTAGTGTCAATTTCCTTGCTGTCAATTAAAATATGTAAAAATTCCATGCAGACATGATGATAACGATATGTTACTTTCCTTAAAGACTCATCGCAATGTTGTTACTCTGCGTTGGATGATAATGATATATATGTTTCTTTCCTTACAGACTCATCGCAATGTTGTTACTCTGCGTTGGATGATAACGATATATATGTTGCTTTCCTTACAGACTCATCGCAATGTTGTTACTCTGCGTTAGATGATAACGATATGTTACTTTCCTTACAGGCTTATCGCAATGTTGTTACTCTGCGTTGGATGATAATGATATATATGTTGCTTTTCTTACAGACTCACCACATTGCTGTAACTCCTTGTTGGCGTTGTTACAGCTGATTTATTACAGCAGCTCCGACATCAAACTCGAGGCCAGTCGTCAGGTATGGGCTTGCATTGGTTTACCTTCCTTTCTTCATACACTTTCCCTTCCCATCTTGACAAGAGGTATCCTTTCTTTTTCATATCTTATCTTAAATCACCCGGCCCCACTGTCATGTCTGTATAAGATTATTCAACATTTTTATTGCACCAAACACAGTAAAATAATGTTATGTTTAAATGGTAGCGGTGCATATTTGAATTAAAACCTGAAATCTTTTCTACTGTTGGGGCAGGTCAAGTGTGAAATTAGACACTAATTCATGTACACTGGGAACGTTAATCTTGTCAATTTCATTGGCGAATGAGATGGACAACATTAGTTTAAATTTAAATATTTTACTGTTGACTTCACTATTAACCCAACAGATAGAACAGAAAAGGTCAATTTGACATGGACCTAATGAAGATCTGCCTATGGTAACTGCCACAATCCCACTGGGATCTTTTGTTCGAAAATTTCTCATCTGAAACAACAGGTGACAAAAAAACAGTGAACAGTAAAAAAAAAGATGTTTTATCAATTTTTGTAGATATTAGCCCTTCTGGTTGGTAAAGTAAATGCTGCCAAAAACTTCTCCAAGCAACTGGGATGGCAGGAAGCTCTTACAAAGCTCTTCATCTTTCGTTCAACTGTCAATCAGCCAGTCAACAACAATCACGACAGTATAGACGCATCCGAAAACCCAGTTGGTAAGGCAACCACTGAAAACTCATCTTCGGTTAATAGCAGAGTTGGAGGAGTGAAAGAGGATTCCCCTACACAGCTGTCAGTGAATGGGACTCCAAAACACCCATCAACGTTAAATCTGAGTTCTAGCGACTTTTCTCTGACCCCCACGCCAAATACTCCACGTACGCCCATGTTCATTTCACAACGACAATTTGAAGACATTGCGACCTCAGAGGATGAAAGGCCAAGGTCAATAAGTCGAAGTTCAAGTGCAAGTGCTGAAGATTTAAATACGCTAGGTCAGAGATCGCAGGACCGAGCAGGATCTGTTGTAAGCCAATCAGCATTAAGTATTTCTACCAGTGACAGTTTTATAAGTCTGACAGATAATACGGACGGTGTGCTAGACGAATCTGGACAAAAAGCTCAGGATGAGGTTCAGAATATACAGCAGGCATTAGATAACCTTGGAATACAAAAGATTTATGTCCGGCACAATATCGAACGCGCTGAAGAACTCTCTCAGAATCTGCTAATCATACTGCTCAGCATAATGTGGAAAGGTGTGGAGGGATCGGACAAAGCTGCCTGGAAGGTTTGTATTGTGAATTTCAACTCGGGATTTTATAGCATTGTATGCCACAAGGGAGGTAACTCCTAATGCGTAATGATTGTAGTTTGGGTATAATTTGGAAAATGCATTCATTGGTAATTTAATACAGGTAGCCATGGTGAAGCTCATTGAAACTTCGTTTCCTCTGATGGATTTTTTTTTTTGAACAATTCTTTGATTTCAGGTCAATTATAATATTGCAATATTTTAAAAACCTTATAATGGAAAAAAATAAATCTTCTTTAAGAGATTGTCTAAGAGTTGACCATTGGGGAGGCGTGGGAGGCAGAGACCCCCCTGCCATAGAATCTTAAAAGTTATTTAATATAAGGAAAATTTGGCAGATATGGTTTTAACCCCACCACCCATAGTATATCGATATAGATGTCTCCCACCACCCCCATACCATTAATTATGGAATAGCCCTAAAAAAAACCACAGAATTCCACCCACCCTCTCGATACCTTAAAACCATTTTACCACTGTAGACCATAATGGACTCATCCAAATCAATACATAGAAGAAGAGTTTACTGAAGTTACATAGGGGTGAAAGGGTTAAAACATTAAAGGTGAGAATGAGTCTTGGATAATTGCCTTGCAGGAGCGAGGGCAAGTCTTTTCCTGGATTGACAGAATTGCAGAGACACATGAGCTGTTGCGGTCCCCGACAGAGTTGAAGCGCCGTCTACTCGAGATGATGCTTCATTCCTGTACCTCAGATATTAGGGATGCTGGTAACCTGTGTTTTTAATATTGGCCAAGTTTTACAGATATTAGGAAGATATATTGAAATTAAAGACAAATAATAACGCGAAAATGATAAACCAGTCCATGTTTACTTTTTGAGATTTCAAGAAATATTCGTAACATTCACCCTTTTCGAAAACATCTTTAAATAAGAAGTGAATGTTGGTATAAAACATATGCTTCAAGACAGTTGGACTAACCCTCTTGTGGAAAATAAATAGAAATGAACGATAATTGTATAAATGGTACTGTACATGTAATGGCTTTTTCCCCTTTAAAAGTGAAAGTATAGAGTTGAATTATATTGATTATAATTTTGTATAATTTAAAGTCCCCAGCAGCAATGAAATCTGGATCTTTCTCTAGTAATTGAAGTCACATTTCACTCTTGTGTTAGGTCAAGCTGTGGCTGGTCCGACAGAAAATGCCATCGAGCTTGTTCGACTGGTTCGACACTTCATGCAGGCGGACATGAACCTGTTGTCTCATGCGGATGATAAATTTACAGAAAGGGTAAGGCCATTGTTATGTTTCAACCGCAGATCATTTCATTTCTTTAACAATTTGATTATAATTCTTTCAACTTTCTATTACCTGGTATTCAAGATTTTTCAATTAACATGTTCTTGATATCTGTTTCTCTGTGTTTGTGGAATAGACATTAATTGTACAAATGTTTGTTGTGACTTTTTTGCGTTCACTTTAAATATCTTGTTAATTTTTTCTGAGTTTCTCATTGCAAATACCAGGTGAAACATTTCTCAGCAACTTTTGATTTGTAGGAGAGTTCAGAAGGCTCATTTGTAAGTAAAACAAGGACACTGATACACAGCCATTTTGTGTTGCCATGGAAATAAAACATGGCCGTCCTGCATCCTCTATCCCTTCTGTCAATAATGTATGTCTATCTCTTTCTGTCATAGAATGTCATCATCCTTTAAAGTATGCTATTTCATCAATTTTAATTGACTAAATTTTAAATCTGTTCGTACATAGTAATTAATTGCATTACAAGCATTGTGGAAGTTTTTTTATTATTATTTCTGTCTTGATATTTTGAGAAAAAAGTCCAAAATGCTTCTTGCTTATATTGTATCTGGACTTCTAGTTAATTGTTAGAAATAAAGTTTGCCTAAGCTTATTCATTAATATGTTTTGAAAAAGAAATAAAGAAAAACTTTAGATATAATTTGACTTATGATATGAAGAAATAGTTCACCCAAGTCCATCCCATCCTGTCGTGATTCATCGCTCTACCAACTTAATTTCTTGACAAATGTTTATCACTTTATAAAAAGGTCAAGTCTGCGAATACCTCAGATGAGTTTGTATAACAGGGTACCAAGGCCAAGGTCACTGTTGTTTTGTATAGGTCAAACACTGGGCCAAGGGGGCATTCCTGTCTTTGAGGATATTTTTATTTAGATTTTTTTATTTTCCCCCCCACAAAAACATAATTACTTAAAAATTTGATTTAAAACTATTTTCAATAAGTGTAATAGTGTCAGTTTAGGATGATAGGTTCGATAAAACTATCTGAAATCAATATTTTGTACATCTAGAAGTTGTTTTAATATACTATATACATATAATACTTTTGCACATTGTTTTTGGTAATGGATCAGTTAATCAGTGTATTAATTAGTTTAAAAAAAAAAATCATTAATTTTCATTATAAAAAACATGTTAATATTTCCCCACACAATTAAAGGCAAAGTTACTTGGGGTGAAGCTTCACACAAACTATTGAATCCTGATGCACAGTTACGTTTTTACTGGTGGTTTTGGAGTTATATAATACATGTACATGTATATACTTAATTGAGCATGTGAAATCTGAGCTCGTTTTTTCTTTCTGCTCAATATATTTTTCTGCAAATATTACATTTAATATTCTCAGAGTGGAGATTTCTGTGCACATTTGACTCTATACTTAAGCAGATCTATGGTTATGACATTAATCTATCACCTCAATCTCACAGTATTCAGTTTTACATTCAGTTGTACATTCCTTTACTCAAAATACTGGTTATTTCTTTTTTTTTGCTCCAAGTCATTGTTTTGAAAAGTATTGATATTTCAGTTTTATTCCTAACATTGTCTTGAAAAGTATGAAAATTTTATTTTAACCCTAGTCCATTATGGTATTTATCCTGCAATTAGTCAAGGACAGGCTTATTGCCAGACATGGGCTTATTGCTGCGGATAAATGCAATATAGAATTTCCTCTGTTTGCATATTCATGATGACTAATGTTCGTTGATATGTCCCAATGGTGATTTTGATTTGTAGAAGTCTTATTTAATGACCCATCATCAAAACAATGTCATGCCGAGTCAAACTCTTTAAAACCATCAAATGAGTCTGAATGGTCAATAATGTTAACAGTGGAAGAAAAACAATTTGAAGAACAATGATTTATACGATAACGATTATAATAATATATTGAGCTCAGTAGATTTAACTTCAGTTTCCTCCGTGTCCACAAGGACAGGGTTTAACACCCCGGGATCTGCATGGGGAATCTGGCAATAGTCATCTCATACAATCATGTTGTGGGGTACAACATGTTATTTTCCCTGAACCTATAGGAGATGATGTATCCCAGAATGCATTGTAATTCATTGTGTCACATTTCCCAAGATGCATATTTCCTCCGCCATGTCAGAAATATCCTAAGATGCATTTCAATCCACCAAATCTTACCAAACCATGTCTATTGATTCTTAATCCGGCAAGTTAAACAGTATCCTTCCCATAATGCATTGCAAGTCCTTTTTACCCCATAATGCATTGCAAGTCCTTTTTACCCCACAATACATTTCATCCCTTGGTATTAATGAGGCTTCCATTTGCTCACTGCTCATTATTCTCAACACTTTCCTGAAAAAAGGAAATTTGCTAGACACACAATAATTGGTAAACAAGTACAAAAACATGTTTCTTATATCTTACTGCTGAAGGGCTCCCCATCAGATAAAAAAAAAAAAACTCGAGTAATTTGTGCACCTAAGGCATTTGCGTCGATCACAATTTGGAACCAAAAATGCTAAACAAAAATACTTTTTATGTATTAGCACATCCGATTTTCTCTCAAAAAAAATATTTTCAGGTCATACAAAACTTTTTCCCCAAATCATAAAGTTTGTGTTTTGATTGTTTTGCTACTGTGTTGATGAATAATCCTGCAAATAACAAAAGGTTGCTATTCTATATCAATGATTGATTTGTTGCAATAGACATTTTGATTATACAGTATGATTTATAAATTTCACTTGGCATTATTTCAACCTTCAGGAAATCACAATTTATCAATTTTGGACTTCAAATAGGTAACTATTTATTCTAGGATGGAGAAAATTATAAGGAAAGAAAACAAAATAATTCCAAATGAAATTAATTGAAAAATAAAACCTATTTTGAATAATTTCTAATGAATGTCATGCATGAAACTTAAATACAATTATTATTAAGTGCAATGAAATTATAGTAAGATTAATACAAATGTGTCTTTGAAATTTTACAGAAAATCTTGATAATAGCTATCATTTTTACCTGTACACAGATTGGGAGCTGCAGAAGATTTATTCAGTAAAACTTAGTAAATATGGAACTACATATATATATATATATATAGGGTATTGTAAAAAATAATTTCATGAGAAAACAATATTGAATGTTTTTCCGTTTAAAATCGCTAGACATCATAGTGAGGTTTGAAAACAGTTCATATGCTTGAAAAAATACCCAAGCTACAATGTGTTTATCAAATTGAATATGGATGATCACTGCTAAAGCATCTAAGTGATAATGACTACGCACAGAGCTTCACTGTGACTCGGAACCAGCAGAGGATCTAATGAATGTTTCGTAAACATCTTTTTGTGTACCAAATTAATTGTTTCATGCCTTTTCGGGAAACATTCAAAACTGACAATATTGAACTTTTGCTAAATTTTCCTTATCGGCTAAAAACCTTTTTTCTGTCGATTTGCCAGTTTTTCTGTGAAGTTTTAAATGAAATTAAATAAAAACAACATATTTTAGTTATTCAATGACAATGTTATAACTAAAACTCATATACAACGTGGTATTAACTTTGCTTGAAAACTAAGAATGCATGAATTGAATGATAATAAATACTTGAATGATTTATCATTGATTTATGGAAGCTGTTGATATTGTATTGATGATATTTGTGGAATGAATAAACGTTTGTGTCTATTAGGTGATAATCCCATGGTTTCCTTCATTAATAACATATATCAATAAACTAGGTAAATCCTACTAATAGTAAAACAAATTCAAAATTGGAGTTATATTTACTTTCGTGGGAACAACCAGAGTTGAACTTAGTCTGAATTGAGATAGAGATTTAATATGGAATGTACTTTTATGGCAAAGTTATATTTAATGGGAAGTTTTAAATATGAAATTTGTCATTTAATGGAATATTTGTCTTTTGATTGATAAGTATACCCCCGGGCAAAGAACTTAATGGTTATACTGTAATCAGGTTTCAAAATATTTCAATCTGGCTTTTTTTCATAGGAGTTTTGCCTCTTTGTTTCAAACATCAAGGGGATATGATTAAAGTACATTAAACCTTGTTACACTGCCACCATTTGTCCAAAGAAATTTTGGCATTATAAAGGGGTTTGGCAATATATTAAGGGAAAGGTATAAAGGAATTCTTAAGAAAAAAAACAAGAAAAAGAGTCATAGAAATATGTCTGCGGTAAACGAGTTGGCAAATCAGAGGCATTCAATTGAGGTTTTACTAGTAATAAATCAAAGTTACCTCCCCTATTTATTGATTTATGTCCCTTTGCTTAGAAAAAAATGTTTTCAAAGAACTGTTCCTGCAGTTCTTGAGCAAACAAGGGGATGGGGGTGGGGGAAGCAGGTACACTTTCATCCTAAACAACTTACATGTATATGGATTACTTTATATCAGCATTCAATTTCATGGATTACTCAGAATTTTATGGTCAAGAAACCAAATCATTTGTTAAGTACACGTACTTAAACAGAGTCTGTACAACTCTGTCTAGAATATTTTGACCACATTATGGAGAAAGAGTTAATTTAGATCTGCTGTCAGTTTTTAGGAAAAGGGAAAATAAGGCAGTGACCAATATATAAGGGGATGATGAAAATCCTCTGTAATGGTATCTTTTGTATAAAAAGCATTGGTGAAATGATTTTGCTTTTAGCCATCTAAATGTCAGGTATTGTTTCAGAATATTTATTGAAAAAAAAAGGATCTATGATTTCTTGCTGTGACCAAATTTTAGGTATCGTGAGTTAGTTTAAATGTGTATTTATGTTACAATGACCTAGTTTTGTATTCTTTAATGAAGCTAATGTAACCTACTTTTCAGGTGCATTGATGCTACACTGACCTAGTTTTCATTGAACTTAAGCTACATTGACCTATTTTCACATTGTATTGAAGTTACTGTGACTTGGTTTTACAGCTTATTGAGGACACAATGACGTTGCTGGACATTCTCTCTGTGTGGGATGTGGAATCGGACGGTGGATGGAAAGAGATGGCTCGTCTCGGACTTAACCTCCTCATACTCTTTGCCAAACACCCAAACCTGGAGGTACGGTCTAATATTGATACAAAAGCCCTGCTTGTGTAAACAGCGATCCTTTCCAGATTTCTTCTTATTTAACACTTGATTCATAGGTTATCTTTAAATGTTTCGGACAAAAAATACCACTGCTACCTTTCTCTTGTCTGTTCTTATTTCTTTAAAGCCAGATTTTGAGTTTGATTGTTCAGGTTATCACTGGTCAATTCAATATGACAGATATTTCATTCAAAAATTAAAAAATAAATGGAAATAACTGCCTTTCTACAGAGATATTTTTGATTTGTTTGCCAAATATGTTATTTTGCCTGAAAAAAAATTCAAACTGCAGTTGGTATGGACAAAATCTAGTTTGGGAACAAAATGGCAGCACCGTCTGTATGCTCCCAAGGGAGTTGAGAAAGATATTGGCTGGTTGCAAAGGCCCTATAACCACGTATAATAATTTGTGAACCGCTTTGAGACGACCTACAAACTAGGTTGTGATAAAGCCTTATATAAGAAGCTGAAATTATTATTATTATTGTTGACTTGGACATAAAATGTTTTTTTGATCAAAATGAAGGACAATTGTAGCCATTATTTTCTGTATTATTACAGCTGTGTGCTGTAGCCACGGCAAAGCTCCACAACCTCGTCCAGACAAAGCTCATCTCCAGCTCCGCTGAGGCCTCGTACATCATCGGCAACCTTCATAGCATCATCGTCAAGGCCGTCACAGGTTGGGAGATAACTCTTGTGCTTTTTGTTGTACAAACCAGTCATGTTTTTGGGCTTTCAAGTAGAGCCCCCCCATTCAATGTCTGTTTTCTGTTTTTCATTTATTCTTCAAAAATACTAGTTAACGCTTGGAAAGCATACAATCTTCACTCATTGACAATTCTTAAGTAAGTCTGAATGGTTAATTATTATTTTGTATTACTATTTCTTAGGGAGATCAATCAAACATCAATATCATAGGTAGGACATTTCAGGTAGTGTATCACCTTAAATATCATTTCATAGTTGTCAAGCCTCCTTCATTAGGAAAGAGATTCCCCTATTTTGACCCAAATTTACCAATCTCTCCCAAGTGTTCCCATTCACACAGAAATGTGCGTGATTCACACATATTTTAAATAAATCGCGTACATATTTTGACTGCTTTACATGACCTGCATTCGTAGTAATGTGTGTCTGGCATTCAAAATATTCTCAAATAATTTTATATTCCATCTCAAAGAAATGTTATTTACAAAAAGCATGAAACTAGTCAAAGTCTAAAACGAAAGTTGTAGCATTTTTACCATTTTCTCGGCGGGTAGTCTTGCTCATGGAAAAGCTTTAATGTGTAAATGGTTTTGGCCCAATCGCCTGGATGGTAAAGCGCTTCGACGGCCCAGAAGAAAACACACAAACAAAATGTCAAAGCAAATCATGCTGCAAGGGTATTTTTCAGTCTGCCCAAACTCCGGTGCCACGGTAAAACAAAAGGACTACGCACAGAAATGAAAGCCTGGAGACATCTGCACTCCGGAAACTTGCCAATGCAAAACGTAAAAATATTAAAAGATTTCAAACCAAATGGCATGAGGAATTTGATTGATTGAGGCTAGATGATCAGTTGGAATACAGTTATCACAAAGAAATATTAAATCATCATCTCGTTGCTTAATAGAAGGTACAACAAATTAACAAACATCAGCGATGTTGTGTCATCAGTGTATTAAGAAACACTTACTCTGTCAGCAAAACGAGAAATAAGTTAACAATCAACATAGGTGACATTTTACAGAATGGATCTTGATAGGCAGTCAGCCCTGCAATGTTTTATTATTAAGAAATGATTAATAAATATTATTTACAAAATATCGATCACAAAATGAAAACAAATGCTGAATTTGATAATTCTCATTGTTTTTATTTTACTAGTACGTAATTTAAGATAACAAAAATTGGTTCCCCCTAAAACACATACCTGTACCCCCAAAATCTGCTGGTGTACCCACTTTTTGCAAACCTTGGGGGTACCAAAACACCCAGATAGAAAAATGAGTGTGAACACTGCCCTAGCTAGAAACTCCCTCATTCAAGTCCAATCTCACACAAACTCAACATCTACATCCTGTGGTCAAATGATCTCCTAGTTATTGCAGGGAGTGTGTAATAATCATAACTGGTGTGTCTGAATCAAATGAATGCTTTTTGGAGTTATTTTGATCCATAAAAAAGGAAAGATAAATTGAGCAAAGCAGTTTCAGTTGCATTTGATGCATGTTCTCCCTCATTGGAAATATGGAATGAGGGAGATCTCCCTCATTGGAGGTTTCAGAAGTTGACAACTATGCAAAAATTGATAATTCTATGTTTTTCTTTGCCAGAGAACACAGACAACTACTCTTTCTTGATACCAGTACTGAAGGCCCTCATTGACAAGGCTTATGACCTTTTGAACCTTGACCTCCACTTGCCTAACTTGCCCCCAACTGCCAGAAGTCCGACATTTTTCGATGATTTCAGGGCCTACTGTCTCACGGACGAATGGACTGTCTTTGTAGAAAGCTATGTAAGTACAATATCATACCTGCCAACCCTGGACATACTGAAAGAGGGTTATGACCCTCTTTTGAAAATTAAAAAGAGGGTCATAGTGCGTGATGACTTTTTTGCAACAAATACAGAAGAAAAATTGATATTTGATACATAGTTTAATATTTGATATGATATATGATTATGTACCAGGTACATTTCTACAGGAAGAACATCACTGACAACTCTTGTTGTATTCAGCTGTTGCAGACTTTGCAGAGGCTAATACACTGGCTGGTGGTTTGTTATCATCACAATAATCATTTTGATTGAATTTGCAACTGAGAAGTGCACACAAAGTGTCATTTTGGAGATCAGCTCTGAATTCAGTGTGTATTTTTTTAACTATGGAAAAAGCTCTTTCCGAGTCGGCATTACTGTTTGGCAGTACCAACAGTGTTTTTGCCAGTCTAGACAACACATGGAATCTTGGTTTTTGTGTCCAGATGTCTTTGACTCCATCCATTTGTTCCCAAAACTATTCAATTCTGTCGTCATTTTCACAATCTGGAATGTCACCAACAGGCCAGGGGCTAGTTGATAGTCGGAAAACTGCTCCTCCAGCAGATCCAGCTGTTCCTAGAATTAGGTGTAGGTCCCGATAACGACCTCTTCCTTCCAGAAGACATACCTTCCAAATGCGATATATACTACACAATTGTAAAAACAACTCACTACTAACCTGTCGATAACATCGCCCTATATATAAACACTTGTAAAAACAATTCAATTACGTTAAAACAACTCACAACTTACCTGTCAGGGAGAAACGTAAACAGGAAATTGATCGTCTTCCTTTCGACAGAGGATTGAAAAGTCTAGAGAATTCCGAACGACTTCGGTAACTTCTAATGTACGAAACGATTCCGGGTGAAAACGGGTGAAAATGACGAAACCCGGGTCAAAATCGTAACCCGGCGGGTGATGTTATAAAAGCGGGTGAAGGGCTAAATTCCCGGGTGAAACCCGACGAAATCGGGTCACTTGGTAGGTATGCAATATATATACATTGTAGAATTCAAGGGCGATAATACAAGGATCAATGTTAAAGTCCCCGAAAGAAAGTGGAAGGGACATAGTATTTTTATGCCCCGCCCCCACCATAAAATGGGGGGGGGGGGGCATATATTGTTGACCATGTACGTCTCGTCTCGTCCCATATATGAGCGGGGGCATTTATGTCTTACAGACATTTTCTAGTTTCTTATTATTTTTCTTCCTCTATTCCTTCCTAATTCTTTCTGGAGTTTTTCATAAAAAAATAAATAAAATGATAGGCCGGGTACTTTATGAAACTTCTCATTAGCGTTGGTGGGCATATGTAGATGTGCGCAACACACCTCCTTTTCCGCCGTGGCCTGCAATTGATTGACACAATTGATATGGGTGTACGCCAAGGTAATCCCAACAGTCCCTATGTCTGATTTTACTCTGGATAAGTATGTAAGTCAATTATGGCACTGCAAATTCTTTCCAATTAATTACTTGCGAGTATGGGGGGGCAGTTTGGGTTACTTCTACTACAGTGTCTTCAATCAACAGTGAAACTTGTTGATGTTGGTACACGTAAAAAGAAGCAGATTATCATGTTTTGAGTGCTGGTTAATATCACTTTTTTTCATTTTGATTTCTGATGCCAAAGATGTTGTATATAGATCTGTCTTGTAAAATGGGAATAAGTTTGCAATTCCTTTGTAAGATTTTCATCAATTAATCGAACCTTGGATTTTTTTTTTCAGAAATTGACTAGAAATAAATACAGGAAAACTCTTATACTGCAGAATGGCTTCAGTATGGAATGAAATAATTATTTGAACTTGAAAAGGGGACTTCATTCTGTTGAAGAAAATGCTGAACATTATATAGTTTATGTTTTGTAGATCTAGCAAAGACTTTGAGTGGTGACGTAACATCATTTATGGTTATAAATCTTTTAAGTGACACCATTAGTTGAGAATGTATGATACATTTCAGGTGAATCCTCAAATGAACCACTTCGTTGAGAATACATTTGGCGACATTGAGGTGGAGACCAAAGACTTCTGGAGCGAGTGTGAGGAAGCCATGATGGTAAACATGCACAAACGGAATCGTGAGAGAGGGGACAGCAAACTCAAGTTTCAGGTACGTAAACAACAAATGTCTCATTATGTGATTTTCCATTAGCTTTGAAAGTCTCACTGAATTTATGTATAGTGTCTTTATGACTGCCTGTCTGTGAATTAAAACAAAAACAAAAAAATCTGAAGAAAGAAAAAAACATTTCTTTGTCTTGAAAGGTTTGTATTTTTTTTCTCTTCAACCTTACTGTTATGTTTCCGTTAGTTGCTAATAATTAAAGAAATTGTTATAAAATTATGCATCAAAAGAAAATGTGTTAATTATATAAAATGGCAGGACACGGAAGTAAAATTTGCTCACATCATATTTATTATCCTCCCGTAACGAAAGTTCGAACGGATATAGAATTTCGCCGGTACATACGTACACTCTTTGTTATCGCACTAGCAACTTCATTTCTCAGCGGAATTTCATGAAACTTCATATAAGTCTTTGGTATAACAATACCTTGAAAAAAAATAGCTTTGCCGGTCACTGCTTTGAAGGTGAAGGTCACTGTGACTATTTTTAGAAAAACTTTGTCATCGCTCTAGCAACTTCATTACTGAACAGAATTTCATGAAACTTCATTCAAGTGTTTAGTATGGCAATGCCTTGATCAGGTTTGCGTTTCGGGGTTCTACATTGAAGGTCAAGGTCACTGTTACTATCTTTAGAAAAACTTTGTCATCGCTCTAGCGACTTCATTCCTCAACGAAGTTTCACAAAACTTGATATAATTGTTCGCCATAACAATATATACCTTCAACAGATGCAGTCGCTAGAGCAGTTACTGTTACATCATTGAATTTTCTATTCATTTCCTCATACATATGGTCCACAATGTGTGAATGCCAGGGGATTTGTATCACTTGTGACGCCTTGTAAATAGATATTTTTTCGTGTCGGTCCATACCACTCCGAGCATTTTATTAAGGGTTGTGACACAATCACATGTTTTCTGGAACAGGGTCATTTTACATGGACGATAGAGTTCACAATCTTGATTATGATAAGGTGTGTTGACAGACGAGACTAGAGCCTGTGGTCTATAATACCCTGCAGTACTTTGTGTTAAGGATGATGTTTAAATCAGTTCAATGAAACAATATTTTTATTATATTGAATATTTTTATTATATACTATTTAGCTTGATCCTAAAAGAAATATTTCAAATCAAGGTCTGAATAATGAAAAAAGAAATCAACAAAAAAAAACCAGAAGTTGTAGGATCATTGCTATATATTTTTTACAGAGCCAGATTATGGAGCCTTTCAAAAGCAAAACCTCCCATGAAATACGTAGATTTCAAAACATCACTACGCAACTGCGAAATCAACAACTTTCCACTCTCCGCCACTGGAGAGCTACGCGACTTTTTTTCACTGGAGAGCGAGGAGCTTGGGCAGACAGGTTTGTTATGAAAAAAAGAATATGATTTTATCTGAAAACTGTCCATGGTATTTATAGTTTCAGAAGTACGCTATTTAAGTGAATTTAACCCGACAAATCAGAGTCAGTGGTGAAACACATTCCTACGTGAACAAGTTTGTGGTGCTGAGTCTGCTGTACATAGCAATCCCATAGTTTGGAGAGATCCTTTAGAAAACACGTGGAGTTACCATTGAAAAAGATTGATAATAAGTAAATAAAACCTTCGTACTATAGTAATATTACTTTATAAATATTAAGTTTTACTTATGTTTCGTATTGTTATATAACATGGCCTGTCTAATTCAAAGACCTTTATAAAAAAAATATTTTCACATTGACCCCTCTGTGAACGTTTCAAATTGAACTCAATCTTTGAGATCTAAAACCTGTACTATCAGACTTTCACACAGGTCCTACTATACAAGTTTCCATGTGAACTAAACCTTTGTAATCTAAAACCTGTATAGCCACACCAACATATAGGCCCCACTGTATGCATTGTTATGTAAACTGAACATTTTGTAATCTGGAAACCTGTATAATCAGACCTTCAACTAGATGTTACTGAAACATTTCAACAGAAAAAAAACTTCTATAAAAAAATCTATAGTAACAAGATCATTAATACAATAGTTGCAGGGCAACAGTTCAGGAAGATTTCACTGTAGTTCCAGCGTAACAGGTCAAACAGATTTCACTGTAGTTCTAGGATAACAGTTCAGGCAGATTTCACTGTAGTTCTAGGATAACAGTTCAGGAAGATTTCACTGTAGTTCCAGGATAAGAATTCAGGAAGATTTCACTGTAGTTCCAGCGTAACAGGTCAAACAGATTTCACTGTAGTTCTAGGATAACAGTTCAGGCAGATTTCACTGTAGTTCTAGGATAACAGTTCAGGAAGATTTCACTGTAGTTCCAGGATAAGAATTCAGGAAGATTTCACTGTAGTTCCAGGATAAGAATTCAGGAAGATTTCACTGTAGTTCCAGAATAAGAATTCAGTCAGATTTCACTGAAGTTCCAGGATAAGAATTCAGGAAGATTTCACTGTAGTTCCAGGATAAGAATTCAGGAAGATTTCACTGTAGTTCCAGGATAAGAATTCAGGCAGATTTCACTGTAGTTCCAGGAATCAGAGTTCAGGCAGATTTCACTGTAGTTCCAGGATAAGAATTCAGGAAGATTTCACTGTAGTTCCAGGATAAGAATTCAGGCAGATTTCACTGTAGTTCCAGGAATCAGAGTTCAGGCAGATTTCACTGTAGTTCCAGGAATCAGAGTTCAGGCAGATTTTACTGTAGTTCCAGGAATCACAGTTCAGGCAGATTTCACTGTAGTTCCAGGATAACAGTTCAGGAAGATTTCACTGTAGTTCCAGGATAAGAATTCAGGAAGATTTCACTGTAGTTCCAGGATAAGAATTCAGGCAGATTTCACTGTAGTTCCAGGAATCAGAGTTCAGGCAGATTTCACTGTAGTTCCAGGATAAGAATTCAGGCAGATTTCATTGTAGTTTCAGGATAAGAATTCAGGCAGATTTCACTGTAGTTCCAGGAATCAGAGTTCAGGCAGATTTTACTGTAGTTCCAGGAATCACAGTTCAGGCAGATTT